TTTTTTTTTTTTTTTCTAATGGAACGTAATTAAATGTTAATGAAGCATATGGGGGGGGGTCCATAAGTCCCCAATAATATCATCAAAATTAAATAATGACATCCAATAATCACTATTGAGCATGTATATGGGCTCAATAAAGTCCCTTAAATCCTGCAAAATAATAGTCCACAAAGATGGCTTACTAGTTAGTTAATGACAACTTTTGCCCAAAAAAAAAAAAATAAATAAATAAAGTTTTGCAACTTATTATTTCAAATTGGAGTGTGTTATATTTTATGTCAATATCAAATTATGCAGTTCAATCCAAGAAGCTAATTAAGATCATTTTCCCCTAAAAAAACTATATTTACTTACAATTAAATGAATTTCCTTTTAACTTTATGACATTCATCCATAAACATAACTAGTTTTTACGAATAAACACTTAATTATATGTATAATTATTTATTAGAAAAAATCAATATATATATATGTATATATAATATTTACAATATATAAATAATTAAACTTATTAAAAATCAATATATATAAATTAAGAAAATAGTATAAAATATGTATAGAAAATATAAAAAATATTTACAATATAGTACTAATTAACACTTATTTCATATGCTATTTTCATTTTAATTAATAACATTATTTATTTATTAAAAAATATAATAACAATCCTTATATTTTAAATTTTTAGAAAAGTTTTTGAAAATATTTATAATAATTTACTCTTTTGGTCTCTTAATTGTAAATCGATCTAGTGATTTATAAAACCGAGTATTTATTGATTGGATTGTTACATTTTTTATGTTGACTTTTTACTCTTTTTTTTTTTTGTGTAAGCACAATTTTTAATTTTATTTATTTTTTCTTAAAAAAATGTTTATTTCATAAGCTTTCATAAACAAAAATGCTATGGAATGTTGTGTAAAAATTCAATATCAATCAAATTCTCTACCCAAAAAACTAATTTTTTCGATGTTAATTTTAAATATAAATACATGAAATATCTCTTTTTTTTTTAAGTTTGAGGGTGATACGGTTTCTAAGTTTTTAAAAACTCGATAGTACACGCATCAATATTTATAATTATAATAAATAAATTTTTATATGAAATAAGTGTTTCGATTTAAACTAAAAGTCCGTTATTTAACATTTAAAATCGGGCCCCCTGAATGAAATTTCTAGATCCGTCACTGCTAGTTACAATTAAATGAATTTCCTTTAACTTTATGACATTCAACCATAAACATAACTAGTTTTTACGAATAAACACTTAATTATATGTATAATATTTTATTAGAAATTTATTATCTTGTTACAAATAAAAATAAAAATCTTACTTTCAACTTTGTGGAGGGTCACATTAATTTATTTACATATATATATATATATGTGTGTGTGTGTGTGTGTTTGTGTGAATAAGAGTTCTAACTTTCAACTATATAGAGGGCCACATTTGTTTTTTTTTTTTTTTTTTTAGGCAAAAAAAAAGTAGGCTACGCAAAGCCTAAACTAGAACCGACCGAGGATAGGACACGCCAACTCTATCATGGTGTAACCAAATGTTCGCCCCCCGACAGAGAGCTAGCCACCCTTTGAATACCATCCGGACCCTTTGCCGCCAATGAAGCCAAGTAATCCACCACAAAGTTGACTTCTCGATAACCATGATTAATCACCACCGCGACCGGCAACACAACAGCTCCTTTATTCAATAACACCAATTAAATCAGAAAGATGGTCAACCAAGTCAAGAAAGTTGTATTCAATGATAAATATTGGGCACGATAAAATATTGGTCGGTAAATACTAAATATTGATGTTCACAGTATGATAATTTTTTAATGTATCTATGGAATTTGGGTCTATAATTGTAAAATTATTGGTGCCTTTCGATTATTGATACCTATAACTAGTAGCAATAAATTATCAGTAAGATTATTATCGATACCTAAAATTAGTCGCAATAAAATATTAGTAAGCTAGGTTTAACACTTAGTCAATTATACTTTTCTCTAATTCCAAGTTTAAATATCATAATTTTAAAAATAATGTAAATAAGAATATGACATTGCATAGCATAAATAGACATTTTTTTTAAAAAAAGTATAATGTATCTATATTCCCGTCTAACTATGAGGCCTCTTTATACAAAAAGTTGTGAGAAATTATTCCATATGTGGAGGCAATCTAGTACTTTAGTAGAAAAATCACTTGTATCTCGGGTCGCAAACGAGTCGAGTCGAGTGTGAACTTTGTAGAGCGCAAATCGAGTTTTTTTCTTCAGTGCTCGAGCTTGAGTTCGAGCTCGACGACCTATGTAAAATGGTGCTCGATTCGACTGTCGAAAAAAATAAGAATACTCGAGCTCAACTCGATGCTAGACATTGCTTGAGTTTGACTCAAAAATTTTAACAACTAAAATTTACATATAATGTTACTAATTTTAATCTATATAGACAATTTTTGGCCTTGGTGTTCTAATATTTATAATTCAACAAATTGCGGTATTTATGTAAATAAAAAGTCAAGCGGCCCGTCGAACTCACGAGCCTCTTGAAATGATGCTCGAGGCTCGACTCGACTTGTTTGCTCGATTAAACTGCTCATTCTGACTTATGTTCTAATTTGACCGTGCTCTAGTCAAGCATTGACTCAAGCGCTCACGAGCAGCTCGTGAGCCACTCGACTCGTTTGCAGCCCTAATTATATCAACTGCCGCTGAGCCTGATGGTAATATTGTATACAAGAGCTGCGAAGAATGTTAAACCAAAGCCTGCCCGTTTCCAATCACCGATAATTGGATCTAATATTGGATCCTTGAGTAACAGGCCCGGCCCAATTATAAAGCACAGTTATTTCATTTTTGGGTTAAAAAGGAGCCCTTCTCTCTCAGCCTCACACTTGCTAAATAAATAAATTTTATAAATAAATTAAATATTGCACCCCACGATTCTATGGCTTCCACTGGTTTCATATATCCTTCGCTGTGCTCATCAAGATGCTGCCGAAAAATTCCTTCGCGTTTTCCCCAAAACCCATCTCAATTTCTTGCTTCGCAGAGCCTTCTGAGGTTAAAGAATCAAACTTTATCCTCATCCGTTCGAATTAAGCAGCTCAAGAATCCCAACATTCGTGCCTCGCCCATTGTTTATGCTGCACAATCTAATTTCTTCAAAGGTATATATATATATATATATATATATGCCCTTTTGTGGGGTTTTGATTTCTTCTGTTATGGTGATTTTGTTGCTGGTAAAGTGTTGAATTTGCTCAGAATTCTTTAATCTTTTCTGGGCATTTGAAATCTTGATGAATTTGTCTGAATTAGAACAATTTATGGTCAATGTACCATAAAGCTGTATCAGTCGTTAGTTAATTGTGTTAGATACTGCATAATGTAAGAATTTGTGCAACTTTTATGCGTAGTATGGTGATAAAAGGTGTTATTTGAATTTTTATGCTATTGAACTTTTCTGTTCTTGATCTCCATTGCTTCCTGAAACTGCACGATGTATCTTTAAATGATAATGTTTCAATCTTTTACGAGTTTTTTTTTTTTTTTTCTACATTTTGTTTAACCGAGTGGTATCGTTCTTGGATGCACTATAGAGAGTGATAGGTTATGTATGCTAAGCGCTTTGCCACCTTCTCTTGGACGATAGTTAAGAATTTAGCTTACGGCCGGGCATATTTATGTGGGTTTAGTGTAATTTCTTCATATTTGGTTTGAGAACCGCCATAGTATGCTGCTAAAAATGAAATCGGAAAATTTGGTTGGAAAGTAAATTCTCATGTTTCAAACTCTTTGGATTAAAGCGTGAACAGCGAGAGATATAAAACCTGTAAATATAGAGCTCGACATAGAAATTTGTACACTGGAATAAGTTGATTAGAGAGAGGTTGGATTAAAGCGTGAACAGCGAGAGAATTTTGTGCACTGGAATAAGGTGATTAGAGAGAGGTTGGATTAAAGCGTGAACAGCGAGAGATATAAAACCTGTAAATATAGAGCTCGACATAGAATTTTGTACACTGGATTAAGTTGATTAGAGAGAGGAGTATCCAATTATTGATGCGGAAAATATAGCATCGCAATTATAACTAATACTAGGAAATTTATTCATATTGATCTCAATAAAAGATAAAGCAGCTTCATTAATGAGGGATAACCGTGTTGGATAGCATACTGGAAATGGTGTGAAGCTGCTCCTGTGAACATCAACCAATTAGACTCGATGTCTTTTCCGAATTTATCGATTCATTTTGGCTAATATGAAAAAAAATTTGTTTCATTCTTTAAATCCGTCAACTCATTACTTTCTACGTTTCAAATAGTTATACAAACAGTGTGGAAGGTTGCAAAGGATGGAGTTGAAGCAGGAACTGATTTGGTGCCCGTGAGTCGTCTTTTCGTTCATCTATCTTTTTTCTCTTCTTGTTATTGTTTTTGTATAACATTTTTTTTTTTTCAACTTGTTCTTCATCTATAAGGATGCTATCTCAAGACCAATAGCAAGGATATGTGTTTCTTTTATTGCGGCCACATTTGCACTCTTTGTACTCAAGTCATTTCTATCGACAGCATTCTTTGCCCTGGTAGGTTTACCTCCTTTATTCTTATCCTTAGACTATCATAATAATATTGTACTTACGATTCACAAAGCGAGATAAACTGCAAAAACCAGCAAAAAGGCTAAACTTGGTTGCTTTCTTTCTCGAAAGTCTCTCTAAATGTGATATTCAAAACTAGCTTTGAAATTTCACATAGAGTGATGTGAAGTTTTGTTGGCATAAATGCTCGGTTACATACTTACATTGCATAAATGACTGAAGTTTCTTTGTTTATTATTGTTTTCTAAACAGGCCGTGATGGGACTAAGTTATTTTGCATTCATAGCCTTGAATAAAGGTGATGGCCCAAAAGGTGGTGGAGGAGGAGGAACTTCTTCTGTTGATGAGAGTCTTGAAGAGGCTAGAAGAATTATGGACAAGTACAAGTAGATATTATCTTCTTTCTCTATTCTAAAAAGAGGCAATAGAATATATTTTTTTTTCTTTTTGTAAAACCTATATAGGGAATTTTATTTAAATTGATTATTATAAAAATGAAAATATTATCGAATCTTGCTCTCTGCTTAGCAGGGACCGAACTAGAATACGACGCTTTTTTTCCCCTAAATGATAGCAATATTATAAAACTCGAGAACGAGACAAAGTACAAGATGTTGTCAATAGACATCAACAATGTTTGAGCAACAACATAAGCTCAAATTGAGCAACGCGAAATGAACAAACACAAACTGAGCAGGGAAATGCGAAACAAAATCTAAACAAAACAAATTCGAACAAAAGGAATAAATTCCGCACCTAACGGAAGGAAGGGATGGCTATCGCGTCGGGCTCGACCGTGGTATGGCCGGGATCGGGGCGGCGGTGATGTGGCGGGGGGCTGTTCGGTTGTCTTCCGGCTGAGTAGTTGAGGTCGGCTGCTTGGATGCGGGTTCCGGGTCTCGGGATTCGGGTCTAGTTAGGCTTGTGTGGCAGTTTCTGGGGCTGAGATTTGGATCATGGATCGACTTGTTTTTAGTGGTCGGCTGTGGTGATTTTGTCGAGGTAGTCCGGCTATGGGAAGGGCGTTATTTTTTGTCTTAGTGTTTGTGTTAGTGTGCTTTTTTTTCTGTGTTTTTATTTGTGTTTCTCTTGAGTTTTTTGTTTTTTTTTTTTTGGTGTTATCCCTCTGGGATCTTAGATTCTTCTGTTGGGAGCTAGTTATTATCGCGGGTGCATTGTGGTGTTTAGGCTCCTCTAGGGTATCCTCTCACTAGATTCGACTTTTGGTCGAGTTCTACATGGAATTATGTGTTTTAGTTATAATATTGCTATCGATTCGAAAAAAAGAAAAAAAAAAGTAAGCAACAACGAAAATGCAAAATACATACATCTAACTATTCGTCTAGAAAAATCCCCAAACTTCAAACTCTCGTCGTCGCCTCTCTCTTGTCAATTTAAGCACCTTCCCTAGCAGAATTGCACAGAGCTTCTCGACGGGGCGTCCTTGGGCCTCGTGGCCTGAGGCTCGGTGAATCACCGTTTCGGAGGAGGGGTTTCCGCCGACAATGACGAAGTCCAACTCCGGCTTAAGTTTCGTCGATGAATTGGTTGCTAGGACGGTGAGGAGGGCTGTCGTTCTTCGCCGGTGTTTTCGCAGCTTGGGCGAGCCTCTGGAGTTTCACCGAGATGGGTTGCGGCCTCGTCTCTCTCTCTGAGGGAACTGGGGTGGAGAGTTTCGTGTCCAGCGCCGTGTCGCTTCCGTCACTGATGTTGGGTGGGGGTGACCGCCGACGAGTTTGGGCTGAAGTCGGGGTCTCGGGGGTTTGGCCTGATATTGTTGGGTTGCCGTGGGTGTTGGTGGTGTGGTTCTCCGGGCTCGGGTTTCGTCTGCCTGCGGGATCTTAGACGAATGGATCCGCTTCTAGTCACCTGTCCCTTCCGTTTCTAATGTTGGATGGGGGAGATCGCCGACGAACTCGGCTGAGTATTGGGATTCGAGATCTAGGCTTGATCTTGCGAGTTGGTTGTGGGCGGTTGGTAGCGTGGGACTTCGGGTCTCGGGTATCCATCTAGGCGCGGGTTGGGTTTGTTGGTGGTTTGGACTAGTTAGGCGTTTAGTTGGCAATTTCTGGTTCGAGCTCCGAGGCCGTAGCCATGTCCATATGGATGGATGTCCGCTGGCGCTGCCGTGAGATGACTTGGTGTGGTTGTCTGCTATGGGAAGGGTGGTGTTGCAGTGTTTTTTTTTTCCTGTTATGTTCTAGGTGTTATGTTTTTGTGTTGACTGTGTTTTTTCTTCTTTCTCTTCCGCTAGGAATGCGTTTTGTGTATTCTTCTGGTGGGAACTTTTTGTTTATCTATTTGTTTGTCTATTCTTCCATTGGGAGCTTTTGTTCGTCTTTTCTCCCTTTGGGAGTGTTTAGTGTGTGTTGTGGTAGGTCTGATTCTAGAGCACTAGGTTGTGGATGTCTCTCTCTTTTAGAGCCAGTTGGCTCTCGAGTTGTATTAATGTACATTTCGTGCTATAATATTATATATCATTTTAGAAAAAAAAAACTAAGCAACAACACAACAACTTTTAAACAACAAAAACAGAATAAACTACTATATAGATTAAAGTCATCCTCGTCTGCCATCAAGCTCTGCTTCCACCATTAGGAACCCGAACCAACACCCCGAAGATGCCCGCCTCAAGAGACACCATATCACATAAGCAATAGTTGTAGATTTTTAACACTCCAATACGCCCGAAGTAGAGGGCTACCGAGGTGGGGAGTTTTTCAAATCTTTTTTTTTTTTCCTTTGGGAGAGAGAAAGTATCTCTTCTATTCGAAAATTGAACAAGGAATTGTGACCTTGTTGGGGCAAAATATTTTGGATTACTGTTTTTTTTTTTCGAAGCGATAAATATATTAATAAAAGCAAAATTACTAACCAAATTATAACTAAGGCTATGTTTGTTAAACCTAGCGGATAAGTTCTAATAGGTTATAAGTGAATTTTGAGCTTATAGTTGGTAGCTTATAGCTGAAAAGCTAGATGATGTGATATAAGTATATCATATCGATCTATGATGTATGTGTTGATAAAAATTCAAGAATCACATATCGAAATCTAAAATTTGATCTATTACTTAATCGGGTAGGTTGCGGCCCTTTCATACTCACTCGTGTTAGATGTGCGCGGTAAATTTCATCCTCTGATGACCGTCGACTATTGAAGTTGACATAGACGTCGTGTACCTTCTAGCTCGGCCTCCTCAAATGATTGTCGTTTGTTTGCAGACTTTTAGTTGATGATGGGTTCTTTGGTTTTGCTTTAAGTTGATGATGGATACAAAGTTAGCCGTTAGGTTGATGAATGAAGATGGGTGCTGCTTTGTTTTCTATTTGATCGTTTCAGTAATAGGGAATAGAATTCTTGGTTATCAGTATTCCGTAACTTAGTAAAGATTGGTTCGATTTTGGTGTCATAATTTGGCCATACCAAAACTTCCGATTCATTTTGATATTATCTTGTTTGGTTCAGTTACTGAACTGGAACCACCCTAAGATCTGTAAGCCCTGGCCCCGAATATTCGTCACCTCCTCCAATCCACTCAAAATTTGATTAGCCCCTCCGACAAAAGAGAGAAGCATGAAGCCGAAGATCTCTCTCTATTTGCCCATCATGGCCCAAGAGCAGGACAAAGATGTAGGGCGACGAGATGAAGGTGGTAGGGAGGGGTGGTACGGATAACAAAGGGTAAGGTAATTCCATATATGTTTTGCAACGTTCAAAGTATCAGATATGTCATCGAACTAGTGGAACTACAGGTTCAACGGTTTACTAGTTCCATCGTGGTCTAACCAGTTGAACTTATAAATAATATTTTTGTTCATTTTATATTGTATAATATAAATTTTTATTCATTCTATCATTACTAGTGCGGTACCCGTGGTGCACGAGCTAGTAATATTAAAGGAAGCATTTTAAGCTGGATAATGGGATCATTGTTCGAAACATAATACGCATTTATTGGAGTAAAATAAAATATTATTTATATATTATTAAATGCATCTTTGCAAATGACATTCTTTGTTTAATTTTTTGGTACATCGTCATCGACACAAATTAAATTCTTCAAACCCTTATGATTTGTAATGCGTGAAACAACTGCATACAACTGACGGTGACTGAACACCGATTTCTTAAAAAAACAGGTTAACATGCGATAAAGATTGACTATGACTCTTCGTAATGAAGTAAGAAACCATCAGTGAGAACTATCTTCGTTGGAATTTGAAAGGTATCATAACATTAGACGGAGTTGGCGTCATTCGCATATCCAACACCTTCTCACTTAAATGATCTCCATTGAGGATTTTACATTCGAGCACATGAGTGGAGATTTTTGTAGCAACCAAGTGCCTCCCGTTGAACAACCCCATAGATACATAAATGTACCTCAACTACATGACCAGAGTTTTTATCTTCAAATGCAATTCATGATTCGACACTCCCAAACATTTGATAAAATCAAGAACTCACTGGTGTAGATCAAACAAAAAGTTGTTAGACAATCCAAATGAATAGTATTTGGCATAACATTTATTTAGATATGCATAATCTCATAAATGTGATTAAAACAATATAATAATTATTATTGACAAATTTCATTTAAATACATGTCATTTTAAATAATTATTACTCCTTGTTATTTTATTATTTTTTGTACATCTATTCCTATAATTCAATAATAAGAATATATAT